ATTTCCGAAGTATAGACGTGTGCAAGGTATACCATAGGAGGCAGAGGAGCACGTGACTTGGTCCTTGTATAATAATGACATTGACAATCCGATGGTTGCATAATGACGATATTGGTATTTTTGGTAAATTTAAAAATTCTTACGTCACGTTTTCATTGTTTGACAGTAAGAGAAGTTTCGTTGTCGCTGAGAAAACGAACGTTTGTATAACGTAATTCGTTGGTACGTTAGTCGAGACCCTTTTGATATACGCGGAGCAAGTATCGTAAAGGTTGATACTTATGAGAACGACCGTCTCTTTAGCTTTCGTCACACACGAATGCTGACCATTCCAAGAATCCATGGAATTGGGTAGATCCCATCGTACCGTTTACACGCCCATTAAGTCCCACCAACTTTTTCATACCAGACCCCGAAATTAATCCATGTGGATAATTGCTTCAGCGAGCGATCAGTGATTTGGTAATCGAGAATTCGAAAAAATTTCAGTCCGACCAGTCGAACGATAATTTGAGTTTATCCAAATTTTGAAAATCGGTCCCGATCATGGCAGCGGGTCTTTGCGTACTTGACTGTTGTTAACGAAAGTATGAGTGTGGTATGTGAGAAATAAAAAAAAAGGCCCAAAGTTTTTTTTTTTGTTTTGCGTTTTCTAGCGATCGAACCATGCATTAAGGCCCCGCGGTTCAAGTATCTGGTACTCGGTGTTCGGAAAGCTGAGGAAAAAGATTATAACCGGAGAACCTTGTGTCTACGTGTATGGTCTAGGTATGTGGAATCTGACTGAGGAGAAAAAGTATCTCTACCGTTAACCTTGCGCGACGTGCAACGAACAGACGTGGTGAAACATTACCGAAATTAATATGAAAGTTAAAGCATAACGATTTTTTCTCCCAGCATCGCGAGATCATTCGAGGTTTGGACCTTTAAAGGAGTAAAACGAAGCGTGTGCCTCGATAACTGTCCGTCGGAGTAGCGTACAGTGGTTCTCATTTGGGAGGACGGAGGAGCGAGGATAAAATTGAAAAATAAATAATAAGGCTTACGTAACGTAATGTGAAAAATGATTGTTTTACGAGATAACCTAAAAATCGTTAAAAAATATATTTCACAGGTCGATTCGATCTCGTGTGGAGGTTTCGTTAATTATCGAAAAAAATTATTGGCAACCATTTAAGGGCTCTAATGATTCTCAGGAGGATGAGAGAGATTTGGGAGCGGTCCGCGCGCGGCCCGGGATGACGCTGCGAGAAACGCGCGGACCTCGGCGCACAGTGTTGTGTGGCCGCCGAGGCTGTGGTTTAATTTCTGGCATCAATTAAAAAGTGACGCGGACCGAGGAAAATCAGTAATTAACGAAGCGGCCTGTCGGTTTGCTACCTCCGTTTCTTACCGACCGACGCGATTCACGCCCCCAGGGGTCCGTTTCTTCGCTTCTGCCGAAATGCGTCAACTCTAACGGGACGAAGAATCCGATGATGCTGGGTGCAGATATTGGTCAAGAAAAATTTCGCCCTACGCGAGATGGACCGGATTGCAATGTAACGTAGGGACTCTTTGGGCCCGGTCCCTTGGTAGATTTTGGAGGCTGTGAAATTTTTGGAACTCACACGGATAAGCGGGAGAGTTGCGATACCGAAGGCAAAATAATAAAAAAAATAGAATGACGAGGATGAGGAAGACGAAGAAGAAGCAGAGTCTACTTACGAGGCAGCATCCGGGAGACGGGCCCCGGGATTGGACCACAAAGAGTCCCAACCGTCTTAGCCATAGGAAAGAAGCTCCTCTCGAGCAGAGAGCTCGAAAGCTCGTTACACGCCGTGACTCGGCATTACGGAGTTCCGAGTCCTGGGCCTACGGGCCCATGGACCCAACGTCACGGCCATGATGTCTCCTCCTTGGCCTTACCTTAGCCAGTTCCCATTCTTGATCTCATCCACCTATCCGAATCCTCCTGAACTCTCCCACAGCGAGAACGACCTAACTGATCTTCGCGCACAGCATCTTCCATTGGACCATCGCGTCCTGGACATCAGGATGTCGCACTTACGACTAGACCTAACCTAACGCTTCGATCCAAAACCGTCATTAGCCTCGCACTTAGGAACCGGTCTTAATTACCAAATACAGGGTTACCGCCTAACGCGAAATTATTTAATCACGTAATCATACAGCCGGACACATATATGCCTATTAACCCAAGATCATCTTCACCCTGAGTCACTTTATCACTCTTATTGAGTCCTATTATTTCATTGGCCTCCAAACTCGAAAGAACCATCAGAACCCTAAATTCGTCACCAGGTCGGATGATGGTCCCGATGACGTTTCAGCCAGTCGGAGTTCATGCTTGACTCCAATCGTTCCGCGCACTGATAACCGTGTCTAAAAAGTATTTCCAGCCTGAGACCCAGTTGCTGACTCCCAGGGTAACGAATGCCCCCCAGGTGGTCCAAGTGACAATTAACCTATTCGCAGAATCCTAAAAGTTCATCAGATTAAATTGGTACCAAGAGGATGCTACAGATGCAACACAGTCAGCCTCCCGAAGAAGTCCCAACCCAAACAAGACAGACTGACCACCTGGGGATGATTCTCAGATGTTTATGGTTGGACGACGGTGCCCCGTGATTCTCGATTTGCAAGTACCGATATTCGACGCTGGGAAGCGTCTTGCCTTGAGTGATATCGAGAAAAAAAAATCAGTTCGATTAGCGTCCGCTACGGTACGTTGGACAGAGTTGCGTTGCGACACGTAGAAAGTAGCCAAAAAAAAGAATTGCCGGTACAGCTGATAGAGCGCTCACGTACTAACGCCCCGGCACGTATACTCGGGGACTTATTAATAATCCGGCCCAAGAATCGAACAAATATATAACACTTTCTAATCATTAGTTGGTTGGCCACTAAGGCCAAAACCGGTAGCTTTAACCAATGGCACACCCTAAGTACCAATTTACGCCGTGTTAATGGACAAAGTGACTCGCTCATTACACCAAAGGGCCTTGAGGCCCCATGCACCGAAATTACGGTGAATCTACAACGGGGCGTTGAAGATTGCCCAAGTACAGGATTACCGGAGTAGATGGACCAACCCGACAATTTTAATACAGAACCGAGTCGTGACTTTGAAAAAGGCCCTAAAAAACTTGATAATTTTTTATTGCCCGATAACCCAGATATATTTACAGAATTATCCAGTTCCAATGAACCAATTAGATTTTACAGCCGTCAAGCGATCGGGTCTCGTTTACTAATTTGATAAAGACAGCAAAATTTGGACGAGCGGGTATATGTCTGTCTTTGTCCAGTACATGGGATCGCGGATAAGTCCGTCTCTCTCGCACTCGCGGCTGGTATACGGAAATGAATAAAATCGCAAGTACCACCAACCTTCTTTTTTTTTTTCAAAATTAAATTTCAATACGTCCGACTCGGTGGGCCACTTCCGCCCTTCTTCGTCTTTCGGCGACGGATGCTGAACGCGACTTTACATACAATCCCACGAAACGTTCGGTTAACCAAAATGATTGTCTGACAGCTGTCAAATTTGTTTGCCGCGTCCGAGATGAATAGACCCGTACGCGCTGTACTTCACGTGCTTCGGTGAACCTTTTTGCATTAGCACCGTTCCTCGCCACTAATTACCTGAAATAACCCATTAGTCCTGTATCCTCCTGAAATTACAAGGCAGAGTGCATGTCATCTTTGACGAGTTAATCTCGACGAGTCTCGTGGGAGGAGTTGTTTCCATGAATCAGCGATATTCCGCGACCGAGGAAAATCGCCGTCACGAATGCACGTTAAGACCTTAGGGCGTACTTACGCCTTTGACAAAAGGATTCCTGGAGAGTTCCAGAGAAATCGTTATACCCGGTGAAAAAAAAATCAACCCCCCCGATATCCATTGATAACAAAATAATTAGTTCGAACAGTGAATTACGTGATGTAAATAATTATTTAAAAAAAGTTTTCCTCCCACAGCTAAATCTCACCAGGATCATCTCGAGGGGATGATTTTGATACAGATCGTTCGGGTATGTCCGGAGGGACTCGTGAGACCAAGCCGAGCCCGGAGTAGCCAATCACCGTCGATTTCATAGCTGTCCACCAGGGTATCTCCGAACGGAGTCTTCAGGGTTCTGTTACCGAGACTAGTCCGGCAGACCCGATAGAAATAGAGGAGAGATCCATTGGGATGATCAGGCACATTCCAGCATCCACCAGGTCAGAGCTTTCCCTCTCGAAGAGATTCGAATTGCGAGAGACATCCCTTCGCTCGACTAACCGCCTGACGTATCAATCGATAGCCGCACGACCTAGCTACGGAATCACCTAGATACCCCAAAGATCGGTATTGCGGAAAGCCACTGTGTTCCCCGATAATGGACCAGAGCGAAGATAAAAAAATTCGTAAAAATTTTAGCAAAGCTACGTTCAACGATAAGAGAAATTTAATTAATAAAATTAAATTAAAAACACCCGGACACGTTCGGCCATCTTGACGATAAATACCCATAGAGTTATTTAATTTCTTTTTCTCCTCGAATCCCGTGCAAGGTTCGTTTGAGAATTGGCTAGTTTAGTTTATCAGACCCGTAGCGAATGCGCCGTGCAGATCGGCTGTCAGGCAAAACTCGGGCAAAACATTCGATCGATCGTTTTCGAGCGATGCGAATCCTGAAGATCGATAGCGATCGGAGATGATCGGTCACGGCGTGAGAGACTGTGTATATGGGCTACGTCTACGAGGAAGATCGGTATGTACGTAGTTAGAAAAATCGGTATGGTAAGACAGGGATAGTCGATAGAAAAAGGGGGTAAACGCGAACCGCTGAGGTCCTGATTAAAGATTTAAGGAGCCAAGGTACACTGGTCTCCCATGGGTCCAAGGGTGGTCCGGTGGCTGGTGAAATAAAATTGGCTCCGGGTCTTTTGCTCGTTTCCGGCAAGGATAACGACGCTCTACTCAATCTACAGCTATGCTCCATGGGACTCACCATGATGCGCGAAACGATCAAGGTGCCTGATCCTTCGTCGCTGAAGAGGAGGTTCGACTCGGCCGTAGCGAAAGGCGCTCACGTCGGCCAGGACTCTTGAACGCGCACGTTGCCCGTCGCGTTCCAATCCCTGCAACACACACCAGACGCTCGTCTGAGTTCTTCGAGTGGCCTTTCGCCCCTTCGCCTATGCACCCCGACCATAGTAGCCTTGACTCACGATCCTTCTTCCTCTCTCGTGTTTTCATATCTCATGTATACGTAACAATGTACATACGCGACCACTACCTAAACGATCTCTATATACCGCAGGTAGATTTATGACGCTACTCCTTAATATTACCGTTTCGTATAACCCTCTCGGTCCCGTTCTCCTATGCCTAATGTCCTTATTTATGGCTTCTATTAATTACGCCCGGGTGATAAATAAAGTGTCTACGCCCCTGATTCCGTGTAATCCGACGGCGATATACCCCTACGCGCGTGGACCGCGTGTCGTCGGAGATACAGAAGAAGCGACAATTTTATAAAATAAGAAGAAAAAGACGTACGAGAGCTTCGCAGTCTTTTTTCTTATACCGTTCTATCGTCTAGCCTAACCTGACCCTGACTACTTAGCTATGTACGAGCCACGTGGTTTCCCAAATTTCAAACCCGTTCCGCTTTCACGGCCTGATTCCACTTTCCCCCTGTATCGAATTTCGCTTGCATGTCGGATGGAAAATTAGAAAAAAAAAAAAAAATTGGAACGCTGTCAAAAATAAAATAAAATGACTACTCGTTACCGATCGAAATGTCTTTCTTCTCGCTCCACGTGTCCTCGCTCTTGGATAATCCCACGTATTCAAAATATCCTTTTGGACTGTACGTCCTTCTATTAATGTCCTATCATTCTGTCCTATTAAGCCCGTTAGGTTTCTAGAGGACACGGAGAAGCACTCGCGCACGTGCGTGTTGGTCCAGTAACCCGAAGCGGAGGCTGAGGACGAAGATGAGAGAAAATAAAATCAGTGACGCTGGACCAGACATACGTGAGATCATCTTTGTGGGGGAGTGGTGGGAGGGGAAGAATAAGGTA